TTAAAAGTAATAGCAAAATAAATGCAGACCCGAAAGAACTACTTAACCATTAACTTTTATGAGTATCACAATGTGTTATTATCTAGGTTGCATGGAAATGGAAACGGATTCGTGGAAACGAAACGTTTGGAAACGTGAAAACAATTTTTTGGCCCGATGACAGTAGTTCTGGTCCAAAAAGGCCCGACGACAATAATTCTGGTCCAAAAATACCGTTTTCCTTTGTCTACGTGTCGTCCATATCATTGTTCTGTTAATGTTGACTAACGATAACTTAGTCAAGGTATAAATCAACAATAAAATCGTACGTTTGGGTATCGAATTTGAATTAATTTGAAGTTCGGGTTCAAATTGGGCAATGTTAAAATATCAGATCCAAAAAGGTCCGATGACAATAATTCTAGTCCAAAAATGTTGTTTTCCCATTCAGTCCTCCCTAAAGTATCTCTTAGCGTTTTGCTACGCGTGACAGTTTATGTCTAACCGTAAGTATGTAGCTTAACCATTATACGGTTCGATCATATATTGTTTATGACTATATTCTTTTGTGAATATCGATTTACTACATTTAATCATGCATTTACTGTTTTCACTAGTTAGTCATGTGACAAACAACAGTTCGTGTAAGTAATGCTTTTTTTTTTTTTTAATGTTTTAACTCCTCTTTTGAAATTTTCTTTCGATAATGTGGTCTTAGCTCTTTCAAGCATAAAATTAATATTTTTATATATAGCATCTTTTGGAATTTTAGTTACTATTCTTTTAAATGTCCGAATCTCTCCACTAGTCTTTTTAATTCGATCGAGTAAATTATGTGACACTAAAAATTAATATATACATGAATATGCTACAATTTCGTTGTCACACTATTCGTATAGTCATGTTCGTAAATTTTGAAGAAACAGAGGATCTATATTTCTTAAGAGTTGTTGATTTTATGGTTTCAATATAAAACTTGTTCTCCTTATCACTAACTTGGATTTGATCACAGGTCATTTTATTAAAGCCACTTTGTACAAAAATGGTTGTGCGGACTGCGGAGTAGTGTCAGTCAATTACACTGGATGAGTTCTTTTAGTTACTATTTTTCATTTTCTATCTTGGTTTTGCAGGTTGTGAAGCAAGCAATTACATTTCTCTCATCAATTACAATCTGAGCTCTACAGTATTTATACTAACCTCGAGCTTAGGGTTTCACCTCTTTATCCTGACACTTGTCAGAATCTTGACTGCTGTCTTGTAGTAGATCAAATCTGTTGAAAGTCTTGATTTTAACCTCCGTACATTGAGCTGGCGAGGTCACCTTCCTCTGCAACGGCTATCTCTGCTTTTGACTCAGATGAAGATAAATCTTGGTTCTGCTTTGAATCCGATGAGGCAATCTTCGTGGGCTTTTGGTGTTGGTTGTGGCCCACTTGATTAACTCTTACAGACCCATCATGAACCTCTGTTTTTGCTTAATAATTTTCCCTGTTATTGAACTTCTGCAAACAATTCAGCGTAGCGTTGATCGTTCTGCACCTACCCTTATGTGTACCCTTGCTGTTGCAAAATGTGATTTCACCTTAATGTTTGAAGTTTGAAGGTCTTCTATCTGTGATAGCATCTCATAATCTGCCTTCTCTGTTATTGTTCTCGAGTACGGAGTTGAATTCACTGCAGAACTCTGATAACGCCACTTCTCACTGCCCAACAACTTTTCAGAAAACTGGAGATGTTGGTAAACTTTACTAGAGCTTCAGGTTGTTTGAGGCTGTGACTTAGTACGTCTTGCGTCAACTCTACGAATAAGGTTGTTTTGTCTAAAGTCTTTGTCAATAAATTGGGCCCACTTGTCTCAGAAACTTCCAATGACTTATTTAGTCGTCCCTAAAGTATATGTTACCATTTTGCTATAGTGAACATTGGCCAGTTTGAATTAAAAGTAATAGCAAAATAAATAATTTTGTGATCGGTAGACTTATTTCTAGTGGT